GACCAGCAAAAACTTATACACGCGTTCGAAATTAACCTTCATGGTATATATAGCAATATCATTGGCACACTCCATAATACAGGCAACAATATCATCAAGCTCCTGCCATATTTTCTGTAATTTGCCAAAATAAGGAATAACAGAACCTCCATTTTGGCGGACAGAAAATACCTCGCAATGAAGTTGATAAGCTTTTGACCCATTCTGATCAACTGAATACGTGTTTTTAACCGCCTCCCATATCTCCTTCGCCGTAGACAATCAAAGAAAGAGAGACTGAATATCCTTTGTCATCGCATCAAGTAGTCAAGATTTGACCAAATAGTTTTCATCCTCCCATTCTTCATACTCTTCTGACTTTTTATTTGATGGAGCAAACTTGGTACTCGAAATATAACTCCAACGTTTTCTCCCACGGATTTTATTTCGGGCATTCAAAGGCCACTCCACATAATTGGTACCATCAAGCTGTTCTGGAGTGATGAGAGAGGAAGTTTCTTGCAAATGGAGGCCAAACACAATAGTCGAAGATTTGTTCTTCTTTGGTGATTTAGCACCACTTACTTCAGTCATGATGGCACTAAAAGAAAATTTTGCAGCGGAATGATATGAGCAAAAACATCAATTGTGAATACATGACCTACTTCAATTCCTAAAGTTAAGAAGAGGAGATTGAAGGAGGCTCTGATACCATATCAATAAATACAATTGTGGAATAATTTTATGATGATTCCATTCATCGTAGTTGTACAATATATATAGTACAAATATTAACAAGGAAAGAATAAAAGATTACAGAAAAATATCCTACAACTACAGAATAAAATAAGAATACATAATTAAGGATATTAACCAAATCATATCCTGGTGCATCTGCACTCCCTCCCATCAAAGGATTTCCTATTTATCTCCTTGCACACAAGCCCCAAAAGAGACTAATGGAGTGGTTGCCCAAATGCCCAGGTTTATTGCATGGTTGCTGAGGCTTGATTGCATGGTTTTGCATTCTGTTCCTGAACTAGATTTGCATTTTAGGACTTTTATTTTCCTTTTCAACGTTGCTTTCTGCAAACAAATTTTAATCTAGCAATCGCACGTTAGGACTCTGATGGTTGCCGTGCTGTGTCCTACATAGTCATTCATTCCTTGATTTTTTTCTCTCTCGTCTGATGTTTGTCATGTCCTACACGTTCATTTCTTGGTTTTTTCCCGTCATCTGATTTTATTTTTGAACATGTTTTTAGTCTATAGAATTATGCTCCCAGAAGCATGGCTACCTGCTTTGCTGTTTGTGATCCTTGGTTCATCAGTTTTTAGGCACGCCTTAATTTGGTGCTCTCATGGAGGACGGAAATGAGTACGGACTTCATTTTTTACCTCTTTAGTAGTTTCTACGAAAAGGTCATGGTTGAGTTTGGTAGATTTGCAATGTACGAAAAGGTCATGACCCAGAGGGATTGACTAAACACAAGCCTAATCTTTGGCATGATTTTTGCAAAGTGACTGTCATCAAATTCGAATTCACAATTTTGCAATTGTTAGCCCAAGAATTTTATTACTGCACGAGACAATTACCCATTCTTAAATATTTTTTATGGTGACTAAAGCATTATTGACTTAAATGATGCCCACTGCTAGTCCGACTCTACTCTCTTCCCCATCCTCCTCTGGCCCTGCCCCAATCTTCTGCTCTCAACTCTTCAAGTTAACTACTTTCTTCCTATCATTCTCTATTACCCATTCGGTTGTCCAGGAGACCAGAGAAATATTTCGAACCTGTCCATCTCATGAGAATTCAACTTCGGAATTCTAAATTCCTGCGAGTTTATGGAAGGTTGGTAGTCAGTGTAACAAATTTGTCAAGAATCACAATCGCAAAAAACATCGCAATATTTATGAAACACGAGAAATATATGTACCTCCTAAATAGGTAGGTATTGTGAACTGCAATTAGATGATGATTTGGTGATGAGTAGTGAGTCCTTATAGCTAAAATTTACTTCTTAACCCAAACCAAAACGTATGGCTTTTTGGACTGGTTTATCTGAGTAAAATAGATGGTTAACAGTAATTGTAATCTTTTAAATTGCAAATAACAATTTAATTACGGAGAATCAAAATACTCCAGACTTTTGTTGAGAATATAAATTGTTACCAAATAAAATACACTGCAATGCCACACCTATAGTAATTTTTTGTAAGTTCCGCTTCGTATCTTTTAAATCTTGTTTATGTGGAATACATTTTTTTTTCTTGTTTTTTTCTTCTTTGTCTTCTATATTTGGTGGTTTTCTCTAATCACATTCATTCTCCTCTTCTTTTGTGGAACTGACAATAATTGAAATATACAGGGCACCTACACACTTAAAGTGACAATGGTTGATGAGGAAAAACATCAGTTGACCTGCATTGGCTTTGATTTCAGCATTGGGCTTGTAGCATCCGAGTCCGTGGCTGATGTTTAAGTATTTCAGAGATGGGTTCATCCATCAATCTGTAACAACATATATGTACTGCAAACAAAGGATCGTTGCCTTCGTAGCTTCAAAACCTTGGAATTTATCCAAGTTTTTCACTGTTGTGTGACGTATATACTTTTGACTATTTCAACTACTTTACAGACTTAGTAATCAATCCTATTAATCGTTGTTGAGGTATTAGCCATTTAGCCTTTCATGTTTCGTGATTTGGTATAGGATTATGGTGTGGTTAGGTGCCATAACTCTTTGGATATATCACAATTGGTATCTCAAAACTGGGCTTTTTTTTCCTTAGTAGGATGAGTTTTGACAAAATAATATGGTGAATCTCTTCGTCTGTTTCTCTTTCTCTCTCTTCAATGGATGAATTCGGAAGAGCATGAGCATGTTGCTTTTCCTCTTCTGTTGATGTTTGAAATATACAGGGCAACTACACACTTGATATGACAGTCGGTTGATGAAAAGAAATATAATCTGACACGCTTTGGCTTTGATTTCAGGATTAGGCTTCAACATAGTTAAGTCTCCCTTCTTTGATTCTTTAATCAATCCATATCAACCCCCCCCCCTCTCTCTCTCTCTCTTCAACACCTTCTTTCTATCCAAGCTTTGTCAAACAATCAAATCTTATAGACTTTTGAGGACCAATGTTTTCTTGTGTATGTCTGTTAAGTAACATAATCACAAGGTAATTAGGCGAGGGAGCATGGTAAGTGCTCATTCGCCAAAGCAATATTACGGGTTTGAGTTCAAGAATCAATTTTTCTAGAAAGCGATAACATTGACCATTAGTTATCTCTCATACCCCATAATAGGCTAGGGCCTTATGCGACGGGTATAACTTACAACCTTTAAATTGAAATTATACCATCTGCGACGATTTCTAATTGCAATATTGACATACTGCACTTTTGTTTGTCTAGATCAGCTTTCTTCACTCTCAATCCTAAACCAGACACTTCTTGTTAATTCAAGTGTTGATGAACAATTCAATTAACAACCATTGAACCTGAGTGTTGGAATTGCAGGGACTCTGAAAAAGACTAGCCGTTTGATAAAAAACGAGCTCATCCTCTAGTCCAAAAGCTTTATCATGACAATAGAGAACTCAAGCCAACAGTAAATGATATGGCCAGATTGTACAGATGTGATCTAGTCTAATTGCATTCTTAAGTGACTCCTCAGATTTGCATCCTCAATCGAGCAATGTGGGCTCCTCACTGGCCCGGGCAAAGTGGGCCCCGTCCAAAGGTGGAGCTGAATGCGGCGAGCATCTTCTGGTGAGAGAGAATGTCACATTTCATACCTTGAGTAGGACGTGTCATATAGACTTATAAGGTCTTTGATGGTTCTCTGCCTAACATTTAAACTTTGGGTTTGCAAGGCCGTGCCAAGTGGTATTAAAGCGAGACATAGCATCATTGGGATAGGAAGGTCGAGGTATGTCCAGGAGGGAGAGCCTCGTACACTGTGCTAAAGCAGTTTAAGAGTTCAGAGAACTTATGCAAAACTGAATTATAGCATTGTATATATGTAATGGAATTGTATATTTTGATAGAAGATTACTAACTTATTGCTGAAATGTTAATGCTAAATAGGTAATGAGAGGTAGAAGTTGCAATAAGACTTGAGACTTGTTTTATGCAGGTGGGGGAAGAAATGGTAGATTGGGACAAGCATCATGGCTTGTACCTAAAAGGGCTCACTTGCTGTGGTTGCTTTATATCCAGAAAGCACTAATTGATGAGAGAGAGAGAGAGAGAGAGAGTAAAGAAACTGCTTTTTCGACCCTTGTGACTGAATTATGATAGTTGGCACACCTTGTCTCCATGGGTTGAACTCTGATGCAGGAGAACCCAAGTCCATCGGTATTGAACGGCCAATTGAGTCGTGCCACGTGGGGGGGGGTCATATCTGGAACAGCAACCATTTGACCGATCATGCAGGGTCATCTCAGCAGGAAATCCCCTTCAAATAGTTTAGGAGGTGTCTCATGACTGGTTGATAAAGGGTTATCTACTTTATATATAACGGAATACGAGATAGATTAGATATACATAATATTTTATCTCTGCGAGTGAGAACTAGAGGCAATTTTTATGACTTAAACCCATGATGCCCATGTGACATAGTACGCTACTCTGTGACCGAAGAGGCTAGTTGTATGACTCAAACTCATGATGCAAATTCACAATGGACGAAACTTATAGTTGCGTCTCATGCCCGTCTCATGCCCAGGACTGGTTGATTTGCTAGTGGGCAGCCATAGATGGGATTCCATTTGGGGCTGACCCCTCGCTCTATGCAGCAATCATCGAAGACTTCAAAAAGCAACCAACAATGGCTTTCCAGTTTCCACTTTTCATCCTTTTGGAAACCATAAAGAAAAATTCTCCATTGACATTGCTTCCCCTAGTTTCTTCACTAGTCGTGGTCAGCCAAAGGAGTCTCCTTTCTTCAATCCATTAACTAGGTTTCAGCCCAAGCAAACCAATTCAGCTAAGAGAAACAGTAAAAGAGATGAAAAGAGTGAGAGAGAAACTCCTCAAGAAAGTGAAATCCATTTCAACATTAGCCAGTTTCAAACATGGTCTGATTTTTCAAGAATATCTCACCCATGAAAACTTTCAAATCCCACCAGTTCACCTAGAACAAGAACAGAAGAGCAATAGCCTTCCAGAGCTCGTTCCTGGCGATTTTCGCGTACCTGAACACTTAAACGATGTCAAGGATGAAGAATTGGATTCTTTCTACCATGGTGGCAACCAAGGGAACTTCAAAACCCCCTTGCAGTCCAGAGACATGGCGGCTGGTAAGTATAAGAAAGAAATTACAGTCACATTGGAGTATGGAAGTGATACTGTTGTTTGTACTTCAGAATTGTCTGATCAGGTACAAAAAGTATTTGCAGAATCACAATCTTGTGACTTTAATCTTGATCCTCTTATGGAAATTGATAAGTTAGCCTGTTTGGAGCCTGTGATCAAGGAACATGGTGGTGATTATGAAGAAAATGACAGTGAAGAACATCCATTACTATTAGATTTTGAAGAGAAGTGTCCACCAGGAGGAAGTGAATCAGTAATTCTTTACACAACAAGCATGCGAGGAATCAGGAAGACATTCGAGGACTGTAACACCATTCGGTTTCTGCTGGAAAGTTTCCGGGTTTTATACAGCGAGAGGGACGTTTCAATGCACTTGGAATATAGAGAGGAGCTGTGGAAGATCTTGGGTGGTAGAGTAGTCCCTCCAAGGCTTTTCATTAAAGGAAGACACATTGGAGGGGCTCATGAGGTGGTTGCGTTGCATGAACAGGGAAAGCTGAGGCAGTTCTTGCAAGGAATACCAGCAAATCCATCAAATGGACCCTGCAGTGGGTGTGCTGGGTTGAGATTTGTGCTGTGTTTCAACTGTAATGGCAGTCGGAAGGTCATCAACGAGGGAGAAGGCAGTGAATCACCTTTTAGATGCCCGAAATGTAATGAAAATGGATTGGTCATATGCAATGTTTGCTGCTGAATATCTAACTTTTTTTTCTTTCATGTTGCTCTCTTGATCTTGTAATATAAAAATAATTTTTGTAGTTTTACATAAATCATTGAGAAATTATCCTTGTAGTTTCCCCATTCATGTTGATCACAGGGGGACAATTCGAAGGGCCCTGGTTATGGATTTGCTGCTCATCTTCTTCCCACTCTTCTGATTCAAAGCTTTCAAACTCCGGTTCTGAGATCTTAAGATAGTATGAGCCCTTGTGTTGTACTTGCATGAGAACATCACAAAAGGACGGTGGTTGATTATCGTCTTCCTTTGATCACTACCATGGTCCTTGGCAATATTTTCAAGATAGTGTTTAGAATTGTGTGATTTCTTGTTGTCTAAACGCAAAAGAGATGATTATAAGGAGCCATTTATAGCTTTTGCTGCGAAGGAGATGATTATAAAGAGCCATTTATAGCTTTTGCTACGAAATAGTGGTTGGCCTAATGGCCACCACTGTAATAGTGCCTATGAAAACAGTGCAGCTAGGCATTTTCATCCCTTATTGTATCCACCCTGATGATGTCTTTCAATGATCTTCTTTCTCATGGTCTAAGCCACTATAGTACCAATGGGGTTCTTTTCACCTTTTCTTTATGGCACTAATTTACTATAAATTACCTAAAAATGGTCCTTATTGATTCACACCAAATATGCGTACCCTCATAAATTACTCTCATAAATTACTCAGAACAGAGCGTTAGCTAGTGATGCTTTTGATATTAGACTTTGGTTACCTAGGGTGCACTATGCTTATAATCCCACTACTTCATCTTCATGATTTAGGCTAGAAGCAAGTCCTACAGCCAATTCGGTAGCAATAATGGAAGTGACAGAAATAAGTGAATTTATTATAAATTTCTCCTACCAAAAAAAGAAAAGAAATGGTTAATAGTACAATCAACTAATGCCCCCCCTTCTCGCCAGACTCTACTATCGGAATCACTCAAATAAAGATGTTTCAGTTTGCCACATTATCTCTTGTCTACCCACAAATTCAACAGTATTTTGAAACGTCTTTGAAATCTCCCTACCTATCTAGTAATGGAAAAAAGGATGTTTGTGCCCAACCAATCACTAATATGCTGCTATATGGTCATGAAAAAGCTGTTTAGATTGGACATGTTGATGGGTTCAAACTACACTTTTTGAGACACTAGCTAGACACTCAAATGTACCCATTAAATCAGAGAACCAGTACATTGAGAAAATCTCAGTATTGGCCATTTGCTGGAAGTTTGATAATCACCTTTATATGTGCTAATATGTTTAACAAGTATTTTTAGGGAAAATCAGCCCTTTGTTTCCTCTATTTTTGGAGCTGTGCCCATTTTAGTATCAATGATTTCAATTTCAATACATATACCATTATTTTTTTGTATATTTATGTCAATTTAGTTCATTTAATTGGTAACAGAATTAGAATGGTCGTAGGATGTGCATACCATGAATAAAATCCCCATCCAAGTTCAAACAATCCACATGTACCGAATAATTACCAAGATAAATGTTTGAAGATGGCCCTGAAAGGTTACTGTTAGTGCCAGAAAAGATTAATTGGATAGTGTAAGAGATCCAAATACCTCCAAGTTAGCCAAAAAAAAGTAAATAAATAAGAGTCTAATACTTGCAGGCAGCCGAGGGGTTTAGGACTAATCAAACTGGGAAAACCCTAACCAATCCCGGCCCCATTAAATGGGAGCGAATTGCACTTTACACCTTGAAAGATTTTAAGATTCTCATTTTGCATCTTTAAAAATTAAATTTTTCACATTACACCTATAATATATCAAAAGTGTTACAATTTAATTTTTTTGTTGATTTTTCATTATTTTTTTCGTTAGTATCAATGAATTGACTTTTGATTGAAAAAATAACGGAAGTTAATAGAAAAATCACTTTACAACACTTTTTGAAACATTTAGGATTTAATATTTTAATGTTTAAAGGTTCAAAATAAAAATCTTGAAATTTTTTAGAGCGAAAAGTACGAAAAAAAAACTTAAAATAGACATAACTTTCAGTCGAGGCCTGAAATGGGCCAGACAAATTTCAAAAGAACAAAGGCCCATTCAATACACAAGCAGACCCACAACCATCAATAAATCTAGGGAAAATTGGAAAGGCGTACCAAATTAGATTTAATCGTAAAAAAATATAAAAAAAATGTTAGATAATTAATTCATTAATTTTGATACTTATTTGTATCTAAGTACATTATTTGAATTTTATTAATTTTTTTGTTACATTTTTGTCTTCCATTGATCCATATGTATTTTCTTTGAAAAGTGGTGCAGTAAACATCTTCTAGTTTTATGGAAAAACTTTAATATTTCATATTTGTATGTCCTCCTTGATTCAAGTAAATTTTTTTTGAAAGTAATTTTATTTTAAATTATATTTAATATATATATATATATATATACACACACACACACACACATACTTGTTGTTAAATCTTTTATTTAAATTTTGAATTATCTTAATGCACCTTGATTCATGCATATTTTTTTTCAAATTATATTTAATGCACTTTGATTTATGAGTTTTTTTTGGAAAGTAATTTTATTTTTAAATTAATTTAATATCCGAATAGTGTTATAGTGTAACCATAACAGTGTAACAAGCTATTTACATCAAATATTATACTATTACATTTTGTCAAACATATAGTTTCATATAATTTCATTCAAAATAATCTATCTCCGTTTTGAATTTGCTACCGCATGCACAAAATTACTGAACACTTTTTTTGTTACAGTGTATTGTTATACTATCTTTGTTACAGTATATTTGTTTCATTATTATGGAGTTCGGATATTAACAAATTTTGAAATTCAAATAAATGATATATTCTAAAATAAACAAAATATTAAAATTCTCCTATAAAACTAGTAATAGTAAATATTTAATGCATGAATATAATTTAAAAATAAAACCACTTTTCAAAAAAAAATACGCATGAATCAATGTGCATTAAAAATAATTTAAAATTTAGATAAAATATTTAACAATATATATATATATATATATATATATATATATATATATATATATATATATTAACAAATACACATGAATCAAGGTGCATTAAAGATAAATGATTTTGAATTAAATGACATTAAAGTGAGTATTTACGTCTTTGTATCTTAGCTGTGTATTTTTTTAAAAAACATTTTATTCTATGTATTTTTTTTCAAATAAGTCTAACTAAGTGTACCGGCTTCCAAAGAACTCATTAATCTACCACCAGTGTTGAAACGAACCCATTGAGCTTGTATCTGATTTGGTAGTTAAAACTAGGAAAGTTTGAAAGTCCGTACAAAAATTTAGATTTAATTGAGTTAAATTATATTAAGAAAACTTATTTGACTTTAAGTGCATTTTTTTGAAAAAAAGACTAAAAAATCATTTATTACTGCATTCCTCTCTTTTCCCTATTTATCTCCATCTTACATTGATAATTTTTTTTTCAAATATGAAAATATTTAATTTAATGTTTTCATCTCTCTCTCTCTCACTATCTCTCCCTATTTTCACTCACCGTTACTCTTTCTCTCCTTATTCTCTCTCTTTATATCAACGTTATAACAATACAATTACATCAATTAGTTATACTAATTAGTTACAATTATCTTATAAATATACCAAATAATTACTCATATGTTCTAATAAAACCAAAAAATTACACTAAACAATTAAACGAAATTATAACACTCATTCAATTTATCATTCAGTTATTTATATAAGTCAAAGAGTTACACTATTTAGTATCACGAAATAGTTACACCAATTAAATGCACCAAATTGGGTTTATCATTACACAAAAAATTTTAGCATTATACCTTATGAAGCATGGATACTTCGTTGAGATTAACGTACAGGCATCGGATACTCGAAGATATGTATCAAATACACTTTCTACGTATCCGATAATAATTAAATATTATGATACTTGACGGATACTTTTATAATCGAGCAACACATATAATTTTTTAATTGAACTTTTAACATCTCTTTTTGAATTCACATACTATACAATACATTAACAAAAAATTCATATTACTTCAAAGGCACATGAGTATTTTTTAAGCATTTTCTACAATTACATGTCAAAAGAGTATAAAATAAAACTATTACATTATAATATTAGCAAAAATTATTTATAAATACTAGGTAAATATTAGATTTGATTCTTTTAATTAGTCACTTCACTTTGTGAATATACCACAACGACACAATATATATTTTCTTGAAACTAAATTTTTTTTCTAATTTTCTTTATTATATGTTAAATAACTACCAAAATATATAAGTATTAAGTTGGTTGAAAATAATAAAAATATTTAATATATTTTATTATAGTTGTATCTTGACCGTACTCATATCTTACTTTTTTATATTATGTCATATCGCCGTATCCGTATTATATGGTACCCATATTCTGTATTTGCATCCGTACTTCATAGATTATACCAAATTTGGTGTATATAATTGGTGTAACTATGTCGTGATACTAAATGGTGCAATTTTTTGATTTTATGTAAACAACTGAATAACAAATTGGGTTGGTGTCATAATTTTATGTAATTATTTGGAATATATTATAGTACAATTGTAACAGTTTGGTATAACTAATTATTGTAATTATGTTGTTGTAATATTGATATATAGATAAAGAAAAAAATAAGGAGACAGAGTAATGGTAAGAAAAAATAAAGGGAGAGAGAGAGAGGGGATAGGGGACAGATAAAAAAAAATAAAATCAAATCTTTACATATTTAAAAAAAAATAAATTATTAATGGGAGATAGAGACAAAATAGGGGAGGGATAGGTAGAGAGAGAGAGAGAGAGAGAGAATAGGGAGAGATAGTGAGAAAGTAATGGAGAGAGAGGTAGAGAAAGATGGAGAGAAAATAGAGGGAGAGAGATGGAAAAATAAAAATTATGCACAATTTAAGGAAGGATAAGTAAGTAAAAAAATTATGCATAATTGAATTTTGGACCTAATCACAATATACTTTATTAAAATTGAACTTGATAGAATACAATACTTATTCATAGACTTTCTCTCAAATAAGTCTAAATAAAATATACTCGCACCTAAAAAACCCTTAAAACTATTTTTGTTTGGCTTTTGGAATTCATACAATCCCCTATGGTAAAATTTTTCTGTTGACTAATGAAGTGTTTTGGCATGAATGAGGAAAACTAAGCACATATCCCGCAAGTTAGTCATTCTTGTTTCTCAGAGGACATGCTTTAAACTCGTTTGAACTACAATGACCAATTTCTAAGTTCGAAAGAATAGTCGACGTAAACTTGAACACCTTGTAACCAAAAAAAAAAAAATTCTATGTTCAGTAAAGTACGTGGTATCACAATTCAATTTAAAAAACATATATTACACTCCGACAATAAAACACTATATAGACATAGTTAAATAACTACCACATCCCACATAATCTAGTAACTATAACTCGTGTATATAGTTAAGAGGACTACTGCCCTTTTTTAAAATGAGAAATTATGTTTTAATGATGTAGCATTATTACCAGAAAAAAAACTAACTAAACAGTCACACCAAAAGTCATTAGTTTCATGATACTTCAAAATGTGCTCTGCTTGCATTTCAATCTTAATTAAAATTTATGAATTTCTAGAAGCATTAGGAGATTCCTGGACCATAAAATAGGAAATTTGAATTGAATTCTAAAAATGGAGAAGTCTACGATACCGAAAAGTTTTTTGGGGTACTGTACCGCTATTACAATTTTTGTGATTTATTTTTACAATTTTGAAGGATTATTTACAATTTTTGAGGACCATTTTACAAATTTTGGGGATCATTTACACCTTTTAAGATTATTTACAACTTTTAAGGTTTCTTGTGATTGATTCTAACATTTTTAGGATCGATTCTAAATCACTCATAAAAATTATAAATGACCTACCAAAGTTATACTTGATCTTTAATAATTGTAATATGACCTCAAAATACATATAAAAAAATTATCGTAAAAAAACCTGAAAACTTATATCTCAACTTATAAAATTTGACGCACAGTACCAAAATTTTTGTTCGATACCGACTCCTCTAGAAATAGTTCAAGTTAAACATTTGGTATATTCTACTACTAGGTTTAAAAAGGTTGGACTAAATTATGCTATAGGGATGCCAGGGAAGTATCTATGCCAGCCTAATTATGAGACTAGCCCACTCAAGTATTACTTTGAAACAGAATAGGGAATATTCTGAACTTGCACTGCTGGTATGGGGAATGAATAATAAAATGCCTCACAGTATAAGCCATCTTTACTGTCTAATAGGTGCAAGTAGGTATGTGAATAAATCGGATTTTGAATTGATTATCTACTGATTTATATTGGAATTCCAAAAGATCCGTTTGTTTGACAGATTTTATATACGTATTCTATATCTGACTTCGTCCGAATGCATACATCTGATCCAATTTGATAGTAGCCAATTCCACCAAAGTTGGGCTCAATTTCATCAGAAAATATAGGGGGAAGCAATAGGAGAGCTTTGATTGGAGTATTTCTCAAAAGTTGCACAACAAAGTAAAGCATCTCATCATATCCCCTGATGACTAAAATTGAAAAAGTCATCTTTACAGCTAGCTGATACACAGCTACAAACAATGAATATCTTATTGGAACCTTGAAGAATCATCACCAAAACCTACTGGCAGAATCCTAGATGCCATCAACCCAGATTCTAACGCTAAGTTGGAAAAAGTTGTACACTTAAAAGGGAAGAACATTTTGAGAACTGCAAGCAAATAAGTACACAGATCAGAAGTTAAAGAGGTATTTCATTCAAGAATCCCTTTCTTGGAAAGGCAAAATAAAATGAGATGGCACACAATCCAAGAACAGACAGACAGACAGAAACAAACATTAGAAAGGATGATTTCAATGTAGTCCAGGATATATCTAATAAAGAAAACAACAGAAAGCAGTGAACGAGATCAAATGGGCTCTCCTCTTTTTGAACCATTCACCTGATGACATACCATGTTAAAGAGAAAAACATGTTAGAAAATAATCACACTTCTCCTAAAATTTACAGTAAGTAATTAGATATCAATGCGACAGCATCAGTTATTGCAACTTCAACTACTTAGGGCATGGGTGTGACCGTGGCTACTTCTATTGCTCGAGTTTCGGGTGCTGGATGTTGCAACTGTGTGAAATGAAATTCAATCTGTAATCGGTGATGGAGAAGCGTTGATGAAGCTAAACCTTTCTTTAGATCTGCCTGCAATTCCCTTATTGGGATTGCAGCCAAGAAGCTCTTTATGTACTCCTTACACGATTCCTTTCCTTGACATACAACCTCTTCTTGCTCTTCAGTCTTCATTGATTCTTCAGGTTCGGTTACTTGTGGCCCTTCTACAGAACATTCATTTGGGTTGATCTGCGGAGTCTGCTGGTGTTTGGATTCCACAGCATAAACAACTATCTGCTGGTCATCAGCAGGTTTTTCTTCTGAAGATTTTGTGGCATTGGGCAGGTTAAAAATTGTCGTTTTTCTGTCAAATTTCAAGATATAAGCCTGACTGCATCCCTCATAGAGCCTCTCCCCTAATGTGTCAATGATGTAGTAAGCTTCTGGATCAACCTTGAGGACAAAAAAATGGTCATTCCAACTGACGATATAAACTTGGGTTTCACCCTTTCCAGGGCATTCTGAACCAGCCCGGCTGATCTCATCCCATATACTGTCAAAGGACATGGCCCCATGCAGAAAATCAAATCTCCCCTCCTCCATCCCATCTGGATGAAAAAACCCGATAAAGGACTTCCCAGAAGCAACAGAAAGAGAACGTATATTGGCTTGGAGTACTGTTTCCAGATCAAAGTGCTTGTCACGAAACCGCTCCCTATAAGTTTTATTTTCACAGAGCTTCCTCCACTCCAATGAGCCTTCTCTGATCAGACTGTCAAACTGTGACTTAATAGGCATGAGACCATGGTTGGTTTGCAACCAATCGGCAATCACAGCAACCAGGGCTGTGCATGCACTCTCGCCTGCTGCCTGCTCACTCCGCTGATCGATGGAAGCAAAGAAGACCTCAGTTTGAAGTTTCAGATGTCCATCACGGCTCGTTACTTCTTTCTGTTCCCAACTGCCGACAGCAAAATTGTCATCCCCAAATTCAGATACTGATGATCGATTTGCACTAGAATCTTCATCAGTCTTATGCCACTGCAAAAAAAGATGGTCATTTATGGTACTTGGAATTTGACAATTTTATTTGTATAAAAGAATTTAGAACAATAGCAAATTGATATGATTGCCGTCTTCATGTCATATTCCAACAAATTTAGCTGTATTTTTGTTTTCTAAAGAAATCAAACAATATCAACTGAACTCAACTCAATTCAACCTTGTCCCAACATTTTTGGGGCCAGCTAAATGAATCCTATTTCACCATTGTACAAACAATATTAAGTCTATCAAACAGAAATTTAATCAGCATATTGTCTAACAGGTATCCTACGGCATGAATACACTTTATGCATCACCACGGATCAAGCTTAGTCAGCTTTGGGTGGCCTCCAAGGAGCTCATTCTCTCCTCCCCATTGTGGGGTTGAATCCTCTGAAGACCAAAAAACAAATACAACTGTATGCACAATAGTAATGCAAACATTTTATATCAAAGTTCATGTCTAATCATAAACCCAATCAAAGGCATTGCAGAATCCCAAACAAAACCAAAAAGGACACTGAAGATTTCAAACAGACAAAGGGTTAATATCTCATGACATGCACCGTCTAAAAATGCAAGCTAGGTCAATGGTATCAATTGATCATATCAAAAACATTTAGTACGGCATAAATGCTTCAAATCTGAGAGGATAATTCAACCATGCTTTCTGAAGGAACAACAAACTGAAGTTTTAAATCAAATAAAGGACCATGCAAAATAATTTTTAGTCAAAAGTAAAGTTGAGTTAGCTAAAGTATTACAGGAATAATATCCCATGAGATCATATTAATTCTTGTATTGGTATGAGACGTTATAATTTGGTAACAAATCTAGCCTAACCTTATACAGAAGCACAAACCAGCATCGCTGAGATGAGCAATGAGGTTTTTTGCTTCATAACCGTAATTTGAAAGAAAAATTTATGAACTTGCTACCCAGTTAACCTTCCCAATTAAATACTATTACTGTATATATATGAAAGACCTACAACTGGGCAATTCATGGGTAGAGGCAAAGAATGTGAACTATACAAGTTACCAATAACATTGATTAGATGAAGTAAAGGCTCCAGTGTATAGAGAAGACCTTAGAGTTTAAGAAATAAATATAGACATGATGGAATCCAGAATTTCTTCATCTATTTAGATTGAAAAATGGAAAAACAAAGGAAAGGAATGTGTACCCCAAAAGAAAGAGATTCGTCAGAACTAAGTTGCCGACGGTCGTAGTCAATGTCATCTCCTCCTTCTTCTCCATAGGCCTTTTTTAAAAGCGGCTCTCCTTTGGCTTTAGGAGATCTGAAACTTAGCTTCCTCTTCCTCCAAGGTAGAATACTTCGTTTCTGCAACAAAGATGGCTCAGCAATAGAGGAAGTCGAGTCCTCCATGTGTGAGCAACCCACATCTGATTTGCGGTTGCTGTAGTAAATCCAGCCCTCATCCTCACCTTTGACTCTCATATTGCAATTAAATGACCCTCCTGCATAATTTGCATAAGCCAAAGGCCCATAACTGAATGACTTCCTATCATTAGAGTCCTGCTTGCCCTCATCTGATTCTCCTTCCTCAAATTCATCAACCGAGTCTGAGTCAAAGGGGTATGCATAATCGCCGTCCTCACTCCTTCCAGAGCACCTGCCATCACTGCCCTCTTCCTCACGGCAAGCCTTTTTAGCTCTTCGGGTTGAGACATATTCTGTAAAGATTTTCACCTTTCTAAGACCAGCTTTAAGTGCCGAAAGCTCATCTTTCTCTATTGAAGAAGTTTCGATTGATTGCAGTGGGGACTGAACAGGAGCTATCGACCTCTGCACTGCTTCTGTTGGTTCTTGAGCAGTTATCAGTTCCATTAAGCAGATTGATATCTGCAACATAGGTGTCTCTTAGATAAAAAAAAAATTGGACTACACTTAAAAAAATAAAATTAAAAACCAATATAAAAGGCATTTTCCTCAGTAGGAAATGTGAGGACAAGAAAACATAATAATGTCAATAACAAGCCACTGTATGCAAAAAATGAAACATACACAGAGTGAGGGACGAAGCTCAGCTGCATTGCCTGGAACTGCGTTTGGAACTGCCAGAGGTATGTTAATTTCAAATTCTTTCTCCTCTACTGTACATGCAAAATCAGCCAGGTTTAAGGATGCTGTCCCTACAGCAGGAACTTTGGTCTTTGGCCCTAGGTTCAAACCCTGGATAAAAATAATATGATCTAAGTACTCTTAAACAAAATATGAAAACATCTCTCCAAATCATGACTACTGCATAACATAAAAGTTGACCATTCCAATTACCAAACAAATTGCATATGTGCCATAAAAAACCAACTTCACTTTGTGAAAACATAAGCATGGGAATCATTAATTTGTAACGTGATAAAAATCTTGCAACATTTTTGCATATATAAAATGACAATATTAGAGTTAACAATAAATCCATTTAATAATCCACAAACTCAATCAGTTTCAAGGTGAGGATGCTAAACAATTAGCATACAACTGGCAGAATTTTAAACAATTAAGGGATCAATAAATTCCAATCTCCTCATTAAGTGATTGCTTCCGAGATCCCCTATAAATACCATCATAATAGATTCCGAGAAACCCCAAAGCTCTGGTGCTCAGATCATACCAGAAAGCCAATGAATTATTTGTGAAACCACAAAAATGATTCAGTAGTCTGTACTATGTACGTTAACCAATAAAATTCAAAATAAAATGTAGACAGCTCGGTATGCAAATCAATAAGGATCAATATAATTGGAAAATTGTAGCCTCTACTTCTCTATATGCCCAATATCAATCTATAACCTGTCTTTCACCCTGCCTATGTTTCTATGTGGCTCTCTGCATAAATATACCGTGCAATTCATAATCCACCACTAATAAACCATACATATATGCTCACACACCCACACATACCCTAGCAAGGTTCACAAAATTGAGAAAACAAAGCACAACAAATACATTCCAATTATAAAGATTCACCTTCCCCAAAAGATATTAACAGAAATCTAATCCTTCCGCAAAAAAACATCTAGCAACAAAAGTTCCGCTTGTATATTTCTATAGAAACCACCACTTCTCACGTCAAACCCAAAAGAGAAAATCCAATCAAATAGGTCAAAGTAGATATGCATTACATTCAATTATAAAAAAGAAAAAGAAACCCAATCCGTAGATTTCAATATCCAATTCCCAGTATATAATAACATCATTCCTCAAAATAATGCATAGTACACAATTTCTGTATGGGTATTTTGTGTGTGTTTTTTTTGTTGGGGGGGGGGGGGGGGGGGGTGTTGGTTGGTTTGTGGGGGGTACTCAGAAATCTACAAAATACCAAGAGAAATGTTTGTCAAAAGAGTCAATCAAAAATCAATTCTTAAGAAATCACAAAAGGACTGACCTTCAACACAGTAAATCCAATCTCCCAGGGATGAAACACATTCTCTTTGTACCCAGAAAGATTACACACGCTCTGAAACTCTTCTTCCCACTCAACGACGCCGTTTGAACCAACCCCCTTCACACTTTCCTCTCTTGTAAAGTTCCTCTTCACCGACCTCCTAAACGAGCTCAGAGCGATCTTGGGTCCTTTCCACCTGATCTCCACCGCCAGTCCATGCTCCTTCTCTGTACCCTCATTCATCAAATCACTGCCCAGCCCCTCTAACCTTCGAACTATGAGTTTGACTTCGAATTTCTTTGAAACAAGGGGTGGCCATGGGCGCCATATCATCATCTTCACCACCATTTCGCAGCTAAAAAAATTAGGAGTCTAAGGGAGAGGGAGTATGTGTATGTGCGAGAGAGAAAGTGAAGATCTACACAGACTACATCGGTTGTGAAATGGGTTATCTTTGGATCTTCCAAAATCCTTGAGAAAAAAAAAACAGAACGGTTTGGTTCTGGAGATAGATTTAATGCGTTGTGTTGTTTTGAGGATTTGTCTCCGAGAAAATCGAGAGAAAAGATTGACAGATAGAGAAACAATAAAGAGAGAGAGAGAGATGGGGCGAGGCGAATATGCCGTTATTTTCTGCGTTTAGTATTTTAAAGGTGAGAGAAAGATGGTGCGAGGTGGGGGCCGGGAGTTTCTAGAGAGAGAGAGAGAGAGAGAGATTGGGTTAAGGAAAGTTACACAGAGGCTGAAGTGTTGTGTATTTATGTAGGGAGGGTACGGTGTTGTATTTGTTGCGAATATAACGGGGTGTGAACAAGGTAGTTGACTTCCGTTTGAGTTTTCAAGAAAATCAAGGATTAGGTTGGTTGGGGGTAGGGGTAATCTTGGCAGATTATTTTGTTATTATTATTTTTTTTTTTTTTACTTTTTTTCAATTGTGAGGATTATCCAAAATATTTGTTAGGAGAGATTTAAGAAGCTTTCCCTCTTAATTTTTAATTTTTTAAAATTTTAAATTATTTAATTAGATTTTTTTAAAAAAAATCAAAATCATATTTTGATATGCGTGGGCAGTCCGGGGATCGACCACTACAACTCTTCTCTTCTCAAAAATTCATACATCTCTTATTAATGTATAGTCAATTCGACATTTATTTCTTGAGCACATATTTAAAATCATCCTCAATGAAAAAATTAAATAGAGCACCTAAGAATGTACAAATTAAATCATCTTAATCAACATATATATTCATTAAATAGTGTAGATTGGACTACATTTTTTTTTTTATCAATCATGGCCTTTAGAGATATACCCCATTTATAAAATAGATGGGTAAATAGTTTATTATAGAAAATATGTAAAAAAAATTAAATTCTATTTTCTTTATTTATTAGATTATTCAGAAATACACATGTTGAACACTGAAATTACTAATTGAATTTTTGGTAGTAGATTCATAATCAAAAAAATGCTTGTGATTGTTCCATAAGAAATAAAACAAAAGATACTATACATCTTTTTCCCCACTAACTACCCACGATCCATTTAAAATTATTTAAGAAATTTTTTTTACTACCCAATAATTTTTAATAATTATTTATCTAGTTTTTTTTAAATACAAGAATGAGAAAAAGAGGATAATTAAGAAAAAAATTTAAAAAAATTATGGGTTATAAGTCCAGGTGGGACCACTAGTTAATAAATTAAATTGAGAAGATCTCTGTGTTGAACAATCTAAAGAAATACAAGAGATAAAAAAAGAGGAGACTTGAGTTTTATTGATACTGCATAATTCAATTAAATACAAGGAAGTAATTTAACCTAAATATAAAGAGCCTATATATAAGCTAAACAAGGCAGGAAAAGTAAAAGACTATTTTACCCTTAATAAACAAAATAACCATATATTTCTTAACATCTCCCCTTAAACTCACGATGCAACAGCGACAAGCATCGAGAGTTTGCCAACTAGAAAACGAAAACGGGAAATAGAATGTGACTTGGTAAAGAAATCTGCAATCTGCAAAAAAGAATAAACAAAGAGCAAAGTAATTGTGACATGCTTGAGATGATAGCGAGTAAGGTAACAATCGATCTCAATGTGCTTAGTTTGTTCATGAAAAATCGAGTTGTGAGCAATCTGAATAGAACTCCTGTTGTCACAATACATAGGAGTGGGATGAGAAAGAGAACCTCCCATATCTGCAAGTAACCAACATAACTAAATAATCTCTTTGGTAGTAGATGTCATAGCATGATATTCTGGTTCAGTTGAAGATTGAGAAACAATAGATTGTTTCTTGCTCTTCCAAGAAATAAAAGAATCATTCAAAAAGATACAGAAACCAGTAACAGATTTGCAATCTGTGGGATCACTGTCATGATCAGCATCAGAGTATGCACACAGCTCCAAGGAAGAGGTGGATGGAAGTAAAAGACTTTGAAAGATTGTACCCCGAAGATACCTCAAAACACGAAGAACCGCTGCCCAATGAACTGTAGTAGGAGAAGCAATAAACTGACTAACAACATATGCAATTTCTAGACGAGTAATAGTGAGATATACCAAGCTCCCAACAATAGTACGGTATAAAGTAGGATCTGACAAAGGTAAACTATCAGAAGAAGAATACTTTGCGTTAACCTCAATGGGAGTATCTACAGTCTTATTATCAGTAAGTCTAGCTCGCTCAAGAATATCTGCAACATATTTCGACTAAGAAAGAAGATAACCTCTGGGTGAGCAGGCTACCTCAATACCTAAGAAAAATCGTAAAGAACACAAATCATTCATTTCAAACTGTCTAGCTAACTCTGTCTTTAAAACTGAAATACCATTAATATCATCACCAGTAATAATTATGTCATCAACATATAAAGACAGAATGATACGACCTGCATCAGTGCACAATAGAAAATTTCTTAAACCAAGCATGAGGTGCTTATTTGAGATCATATAACGCTTTATTGAGCTTGCAAACATACCCAAATTCATGAGAAAAACCAGGAGGGGAAGTCATATAAACTTCTTCTTGAAGATCCCCATTTAAGAAGGTATTTTTAACATCAAGTTGAGAGATATGCTACTGACGAACCGAAGCAACTGCAATAAGAGTACGAATAGTAGTCATTTTTGCAACAGGATCAAATGTCTACTCATAATTCATACCATACTGTTGAGAGTACCCTTTTGCAACTAACCTAGCTTTGTATCGCTCAACAAATCCATCAGAATTGGTCTTAATCTTATACAACCAACAACACTCTTACCAGGAGGTAGAGGAACCAAATCCTAAGTACCTGTATTATGCAAAGCAGAAAGTTTCTCATCCATAACTTGTTGTCAAAGAGGGTCAAGAATGACCTCTTTATAGGAAGAAAGCTCAAAGAGACAATGAATAGAAGCTAAAAATGAAGTAATAGATAAAGAATAACAAGAATAAGTAAAATCTAGTAATTTTGTGGATTTATGAATGTGTGTGGATTGACGTAAAGGTGGATCCACAATCTCAAACGAAGCTTGAGGGACCATCGGAGAGGAGGTAGCTTCAAGTGTGCTTGAGAGTAAAGTGTCAGTACCTGTAAAATGATCAGTGCTGGTATTTGAAGTACTAGAAACCTGATATGACAAACTATCAGAATCCTCAGGAAAAAGGATCTATACGAATAAGATCTGATTTAGTCAAGCTATAAGTAGTGGATGGAATAAAAAAGAAAGGTATATGCTCAAGAAAAATAACATGACGAAACACAAAGCTACCTGAAATGATCAGTGCTGGTATTTGAAATACTAGAAACCTGATATGACAAATTATCAGAATCCTCAGAAAAAGGATTTATACGAATAAGATCTGATTTAGTCAAGCTATAAGTAGTGGATGGAATAAAAAAGAAAGGTATATGTTCAAGAAAACAACATGACGAGACACAAAGTTTTTTAGTTATTGGATCAAAACAACGATACCCCTTTTTACCTTCACCATAACCAAGAAAGACACAAATAGCAGATCGAGAAGACATCTTGTTGCGTTCAACATGAGGACGAAGAATGAAACAAGTACAACCAAAAACTCTAAATAAAGAATAATCAAGGGCATACCCATACAACTTTTCGAAAGGAGAAACACCTAAAATATGAGAAGATGAAATTTTATTACTCAAACCTACAGCAGTAAGAACAGCTTCACCCCAAAACTCACTAGGAACAGAAGAAGACAACAAGAGAGAACGAGCAGTTTCAACAATGTGTCTATGTTTTCTTTCAACAACACCATTTTGCTCAGGAGTACCTGTACACGAAGTTTGGTGAATAGTTCCATCTAAGGCAAGCAACTCATCAAATTTATTAGAAGTGTATTCCCCACCCAAATCACACCTAAAACATTTGATAACAGCAGAATGTTGAGTTTTGACAAGAGCTCGAAAGGCTGTACATATCTCAAAGAATTCAAAACGATGTTTCATTAAATAAATTCAACAATAACGAGTATGATCATCAATAAAAGAAACATAATATCAAGACCCTCCTTTTGTGGCAACAGGAAAAGGTCCTCATACATCAGAATGAATCAAATCAAATGGAGAAGAAGAAACAGAAATACTTCGATTAAAAAGTAAAGTTGCAAATTTTGTTAGTTTACATCCACTACAATCAGAAATATCACAAGTTTGTAAATTTCCTAAAGCCCCTGTGGATGCCAAAAATCTCAAACGAGAAGACGAAACATGACCTAAACGAGAATGCCATAAATAAAAACTAGAAGAAGAATGACTTAAACGAAAAGAAGATAAATTAACACTAGTAGTAGCAGCAGTAACAACTGACACTTTTAACTCATCCAAAATATATAGTCCCCTTTTCCTACGACCTGTCCCAATCAGCTTCTGAGATTGCAGATCCTGCACATAACAAGAAGAAGAGGAAAATGTGACTAAATTTCCAGAATTACATAACTGACCAACATAAGCAAGATTTAATGTGAGTTTTGGAATATGATAAACATTAGGGAGAGACAAGTGAGGTGTGACAACAGAACCAACACCTGATAAAGACATAGGAGTGCCATCAGCAGTCATAATAGGAATAGAAGATGAAGGAGATACATAAGCAAAAGATGAAGAATCTGGAGATATATGATGTAAAGCACCAGAATCCAAGACCCATATAGAATGTGACATACCTGGAGAATTATGAGGTAACTGACCTCCTGAAGAAGAATCAGACATAGCTTGTGGTTGTAAGGAGAGAAACTTCTAAAATTGCTCAGCCAAGGTATTAGAATCGGTGAAAAGACCTGATGAAACTAATGCTGCAGTATTAGACTGTGGTGGTTTTGTAACCCTGAGGTGGTCTATGAGCATTAGATTGTGACTGGTTGCCAGACTTCCAAGGTTGAGATTGCTACTGCGATTGATTCTACTATCTTAACTTAGGACATTGAGCCTTCCAATGACCTTTCTGCTTATAGAAATTGCATTCGTTGAAGGCAGACCTTGTGTAAGGCTTATTCTGATTATGAGAGAATGATTTAGAAGGTACTGCTAGCACAGAAGGATTAGAAGTAGAAAGAATTCCCTTGTTAGAATAAGACTTAAGACATATCTCTTCAGCCAATAACTCACTGACAACTGAGTCAACAGAAGGAAGCGGAGAACGATGCAAAATTGAACCTCTAAGTCCTTCAAAATTACTACGAAGTGTCATTAAAAACT